CAAACAAGTTCAGATGCCCTAAAGGAACACAAGATGGCACCATAGCTAAAGGTTTATCATCATTTGTTATTAACATCCTTTTCATGTGGGTTAGTAATTTTGTCAATTGACATTGAAATGACTACATGTTGTACTTGTAGTGGGATAATTCTAATGTTTGTGAATTGCCATGTGAGAATAGGGAGCTTGCTGATGAGTTCAGTATAACCAAGCTGAGGGTGTAACTATACCAAGCATGCAAACCTTGTAGTCTTCTTTTTCATAACAACTATAGACATGGCAGGATATAGGCAGTCCTGGTCACAAACATCCAACTTACAAATGACTCATAGTTAAGAACGGCACTGAGACAACAGGAAGTGAGAGAAATCTACCCCTAGGAAGGGAAATTTACTTCTGAAAGAGTTATCATAGGGGAAAGGGGTATCAACTAAAGTTTTCTCAGCAATCCTTATTTCTACAACAAGCCGTTTTTTTCAAAATCCAGTTATCACAGGGACCGAAAGTGAGGTGAAATCTTCTGAACAGGGGCACAGACATCAAAGCAAACACCACTTCTTTGTAACTTGGGGACTGTCTGTACCTCACTTGCAAAGCCCTTAAAGTTTTCTACTTTAATGAGATGTATCTTACCAGAAACCTGTTGATTTTAATGTATTTTAAGAATCTGGTATTTTCCTTGGGGAGCAAGCATGGTACAGAGGTTTGAGAGTAGAACTAAGTGATTGAGAGGCAGGGTTCAGGTTCCTCATCCATGAAAACCCGCAGGCTGGCCTTGGGAAAGTCACACTCCTTCCAATGAAGGAAAAAGCAATGGCAAACCTTCTCCAGATGAATCTTCTGAACACATTTTGCCCAAGGCACATGATGATCGGGCTACCATAAGTTGGGCCCAATTCAAAGGCATGTAATAGCAAATCTTTCTTAGAAGCATCATTGCATGGCAAAGATTTTCACTGGCCTCAATTCTCAGAAAGGTTCAGTGGTGGAGACCTGGTCCTAGAGCCAAGCCACGCCTTCACTTTTCATGTTGTGCGCTTTCTGGCCCAACTATGGTGGCTGTTCTCATGGCTAACTCCTGAGAATCGTGGGTGCCACCTTTTCTGTCATTTGGCATGGTTTTTGCTTGAGCAGACATATGGGTAGGAGTTTGTGGTTCTTGTGATAAAGTATGGCCTGGAGACTCTACATGTGCACTTGGTCTTTCTTGCATCCTGTCCCACTTTTCCAGTTCCAGAAAAAGTAGAGCAAAAATGAGTATGTATCATTCCTGGAGGCTTCTGGGAATTGTTGCTTTTTGCTAAAACCATTTTGGATGCCACACAAAAACAAAACAAAAGCGGACCTTGTCACTAGCAGTTTCAATCCCCACTCTATTTCTATGTTTTTTCAGGGAGATGTGTTTTATCAGCAAGTACTTTTCTAAAAACGTGGTACAACATGGAACATGAGTTCTAACATCAAAAATGATATTAAAGAAGTATTAAAGGAAGAGTATCTTTCTTCAGTGTGATGTTTCTTCAACATGAAGAAACGTCACTGGACCTCATTATAAAATTGTTCATTGGACCTCATTATAAAAGGTAAGTGGATGCCAACTATCGCACTGTTATGAGTAATATTCTCCTGTGCCACTGGCAAAACATGTTTACTGCTTCAAATGACTGTGTTTCTTAGAATAGTAGCTGTTTACTTGTGTGAAATGAACTGTAGAATTTATTATTACAAGATAGAGAGCTAGCAGCAAACGGGATTTAATTAAAACATGGTGATATATAGGATTATTTTCACCATTTTATGGCTGAACAAGGAAAAGCTGTTACTCTGTTTTTCAACTATTGCCCTAGTATGTCTGCCTGCCTGCCTGTCTATCTATCTCTCCACACCTGTTTGAGCCTACAGATCCAGCTTTGGGGCCCCTTGCCCTTATAACCCTTTCCTCCTTTTTTACTCTTCCTTTTAGAGGTCTCATATCCACCTGTCTTCTGAAGCACTGCCCTATAAAGTCACACATGCCTCTGAGACCTATGTGAATTTTTAAATAAAATCTTGAGACACTCCTTTCAGAACAAACGGTGCAATTATTTTTGACAGCTTTGTTGCTTGAAAAGTTAAAATATTGATATTTAAACCAGTTTCGAGGCTAGAAGCCCATGAAAATTATTCTGTGATCCACATCACAGAATAATGATCCTTTCCCTTATTCAGAGCATTCAAAACTGTGTATTGTGACACGTTAGTGTGTCAGATGCAAACTTCTGAGTATGTGAAATAAGGGAGTATGTGAACTTCTGAGTATGTGAAATAAGGGAGACATCATATATTTTTAAAAAATATATAAATGAAAGGTTTTCATGAGATATGTTGTACCAATACATTTTATTACAATTTATGTATTTGCCCATATCTCTTGTGAGGGGTTGGTTTAATTTTTGGTTTGCTAGTAAAATTGAATTACTGTGTCACAAAATGATGCATATCTAAAAAAGTATGTCACCAACATGAAATGCCTGGATAGCTCTGCCTTAGTAGGTTAAAAAATAGCAAAAACTTTGTGCTGGGAAGCAAGAGACACCCACATTGGAAAATGATGTGATCTTTCACATCTGTAGAAATAAAAATGTAATGTTCGTTTGTGGGATTAACAAAACTCAAAAACCACTGGACAAATTGACACCAAATTTGGACACTACACCCCTAACAGACCAACGAGTGACCATCAATCATAACCCCCCCCCCCAAAAAAAAGCAGTGGAAAGGACTTTAAAACCCCAAAAACCTAAATGACGATACAGCACACGCATGAAAATGACTCCCTCCCCTGCATGAGGGGAAAACAAACTTACAGCTGCCCCAGCCCTTCTTTGCCCATGCCTGTGCTACAGTCACATCGGAAGGCTGTGGCTCTCAGTGGGTGGCCTTGGCCCACAGCAGTTTGGCCCCCAGTCCTGTGACCTCAGATAGTGGCAGCTGGGAGGAGCGACGCGCAAACCTGAGGGTAATGTGAGGGCACAAGGAAAGTGTGTGTGGGGGTGGGAGGGTGGTCACTCACCCCGAACATGAGCAACCAGGAAAACTTCGCAAGCGGCTCAGACCTTGCCGCAAACCCATGGTACTGTTTACAGGTGCCGTGGCGTCTGCTGCCTGGTTGGATGGCTGCCTAGCCACAGGCCCTGAACACTTCCACTTAACCCCTCAACCTGCTAGGCTGGGCCCACAGGATAGTCCCCCTACCTTGCAGCAGGAAGTCTCCTGCGGACCCCCGGCTTACTAACCATGGAGCCCTTGCTCTGCACAGAGCAGGGATGCAACTCTCTCAAATGCTGCCTTCAAGCCCAACTCTTTTCCGGTCAATGTCTAGAGGGAAGGAATGAAGGAGGGAAAGGGGGAAGGAAGGAGAGAAGGAGGGAGGAAAGAGGGAAAGAAGTAAGGGAAGGAAGGAAGGAGAGAAGGAAAGAAAGAGGGAAGGAAGGAACCAAAGAGCAAAGGAAGGAAGGAAAGAGGTAGAGAAGGAAGAAAGGAGAGAAAGAGGGAAGGAAGGTTTGCCACAGCAACATGTGGCAGGTACAGCTAGTGTAAAATAAACCATGCAGGAATGAACCTTTGAGAATGTGAAGATTGTCTGATACTCAGAAGAAGACAGTTCTTGGTCTTTGGCATGACCACACTTGCAAACTAGAAGGCAGGGCAGCTTCTTACTGGGGCCTCCTCATCCACTCTAGCAAAAAGTTAGGAGCATGAGCATAGCTGTCTTTAAGTCACTGATCTAGAGATCAGAACAGTGGATGAAGTTAAGATTCCCTGTGTTTCTCCCTTGTCCGTCACATTGTCCTAGTACACTCTTAGCTGTGTTCCTCACTTGGCTGAGTGGTGTTGTATTTTAGGGAACTTACTGCTTAGTGAGAGACACAGCCATTGGTGAATATACGTTAAATCAGTTTTATGACTTTTCCTCTCCAAAATGTAGCACAACAATTCTTTTTCCACTTCTTGGTTTGCAGACTCAGTGGTTCCCCATCCCTAGCTCAGGCAGAGCTTACAATGATGCTTCAACGGTCTGCTGTAAACTTTGGTACCCTTCGTGCTATGCAGTTATAATGCTATGATTCTACTTTCTATCATGGCTGTCTCCCATTGAAACCTGGGGTTTGTAGTTTAAGGAGAACTAGAACTCTCTGGCTGAGAATTTTAACTGCCCCTACTTAAACTGCTAATCCCAGATTTCCATAGGACAGAACCTTATCAGCTGAAGAGGAATTAGAGCTTGTATCTGGTGTGGTGTGAAAGAACAGAAAAATCTAGATCAGCTTCTTGATGCTAATGCAACTGTCGTTTCCTTCAAAGTTTAGCTGGTTACCTAGGAAAGTAAGGACTTGCGTTATGTGAATTCGACATTTAATCTGAAGTTCCACAACCAAGACACAGGTTTACCAGTTTTAGAACTGGACCAAAATAGCTGGCATTAGAACTAGGCTAAAATGTCAGAAATCACCTGCAGTTGTAGAAGGAGAACATAGCATGCAAGGCACAGATCCCAGCATGCTTTTAAAAGTCTTTGCGTGGGTCTAGGGAGGATTAACGGCAATCCTAATATTAAATTTAGAAAGCAATTGTACTGAACCAAAAATATAACGTTCGTGAATAGTGTGGGTTGCTCACTGTTCCAGACTTGGCCTCTCAGCCCAGTTTCAACTCTCATCTTTGGCTCTGTTGCCAGGACACAGCAAGAAAGAAATGGTAATCAGTCGCAGAGTTCCATCTTGAGGTGCATTTACACTATAGAATTAATGCATTTTGACACCACTTTAACTGTCATGGCTCAATGCCATGAAATTGGGGGACAAGGACTTCAGTCTTCTCTGTCAAATTCTCTCCAAATTCCTACACCCTTTATTCCACACATTTTTTTAAATGTAAAGCTCGCCTTTCCACTTTTTGTTGTTGCAAACACTGTGCTTCCCAATATGTCACGACAAAAGAAATAACACCAAGGCACTAGAAACATTTTAAGATGCTTCTTTTTATTTCCATGGTTGCACATTGGGTAATTAAATAATATCTCAACAAACTCATAAATGGGTATTTAAACAGGCTGCTAAATAGTTACAGTACATAGAATAACAGAAGGGGCTTATTTAACTGTTAGCGAAAGTATGCAGTGTAAATGTCGCCACTGATCATTTTTTATGGGCAAATTAAGGTATTTTGGTGAAGTGCTCTTATAGAAAATGCAGAGACATCTCAAGTAACTTGAAATTATGTCCCAGCCTCTGTATTTGCTGACTATATTGTCCCATTTCATGGTTGTGTCAAGGGAGATATTTAAAAAATAAAAATAAAACCAAAACAAGCTCCATTTACCATCATTAGACACTCTTTTTCCCAAAATATAAATGAAGTTTTGGCAAATAATATTTATACAGAAAAATAGTTTTAGATTTCCCCCAAATTCAATGTACTCTACAAAATTACTCTTTAATAAATAAAAAACCATGTACTCATTATTTTATATTTACGCTAATTAATTTGTCAATATTATTACAGATTTGAAGCAAGAGGCACAGAGATTAAACAAAGTGCGGCCGAGCACGGACAGAGCGAAATGGGAACCGGGTAGTACAGTTTTGCTCTTTCCAAGACAGCTTGCCTGAAGATGAATAGGCGCAAGTCTGTATTTGCAAAACTTCTATTCTAGACAGCCTTGCTGGAATGAATAGGGACAGGCTGTCTTTTGCGGGGGCAAATTAGAACTGGCATACAGGTTCACCCTGTTCGTTCAGCAGATAGATACATTCTGATAAAAGCAAAGAATCAGCTTTGGGATTCAGGCCAAAGAAGGAGGCCAGGACAATCAAGTGAGGCAAGCAAACAAACTAGAAAGATCAAGCAGCGTGTTTAATTTAGATGCCAAAACGGCTGATTCAAGAGACTGATCCAAGCGACTATTTATATGTGCCCTGTTTGAAGGAAAGGATATCAGGGCTGGGCAGGAAAGAAGGAACACAGAGTGGAGAGCAGAGAGCTGGCTGAAGCACGGACAAAGCGGGATTCAGCAGTGCAGCGAAGAAAGGCTAGAAAGGCCTGCAAACAGGGAAGCTGCTGACATGTGGCAGAGATTAGCGTGCTACGGTGTTAGTGATAAATCCTAAGGAAGCAGGTAATGGTTTCAGCCAGGGCAGTTACATTCAAGAGTGGCCTGTGTGGCCTGCCTTTCAGCAGGTTCGGCTTTTTCTGCCTGTACAATCTCTGTGACTCGTGCTCGTAAACTGTGATGCTCACGCCATTTATTCCAGTTTAGTTCCATTAAAACCAACAACACTATCCTGAAACAAAGAGCATACGGATCGACATAATTATTTTCAAAACATAGGAACAGAACAGTACATCAAAGCTCTCTTTTTCAAAAATACGTGCTCTTTCTCTCTCTCTCTTTTTCCAGGAGGAAAACTCAGATAGGTAATGAAAATTTGATCATTAATAAAAAGAAAATAACATCGGAGTGATTCTAATGAAATAATTGCTTAAACATAATAGGTGCACTAAAATATTCTTTCTACAGTTTAAATATTTCAACAACATATATAAATTGCCATTTAGTGTTGTCCAATAAACTATCAAATGTTTAAATGGATCATTTAAAAATAAAACCCCAACAACTACAGATGTCAGTAAATGGCCAGGTTACCGATCTAGTTATAATGATTCAGAAAATTTACAAGTAAAATTAAAAAAGATACATATTCCTCACAAAATAAAACAAATGTAAGATTACAAACACTGTGTTTACCATCAGTTTGGGGGTAGAGTGTTCTCCCCTTTAGGTGATCGAAGCTAGTGTTTTAATATAAACAGATGAGACCTTTGAAAAACAAGAGTAACACTGAAAAATAATTTCATTAACAAAAAAAATCAATTAGTGCTTCTGTTCTCTCAGAATAAGCAGTGCTGCCAAAGCTAAAGATTTTAGAATCAATCTGAAACGCTAAGTTAAAATACTGCAATCATTTATCATGTTCACATGGAAAAAAACCCCAGATGTTTAAATTATACATATTTCCATAGGACAGCTGCTTTTTTGTTTTATAAACAATAATTTAAAAACCATGTACTTATGTGATCTGTGTGCAACATATAAAATGTGAAATGTGACATATTTGGTACAATAGTGTAGGAAACAAATTTTAAAAACAAACCTCCTACATTAATCAAATGTATATAATTACTTTGTAAATCAACACAGTATTTAAAAAAGTAAACATTAAAATCTGTTTTGTCCATATATATGTATGTGTATATATAATATGTATATAGTTGTATTAAAGATATCTTTTTATTTCTGTGACATAAAATAAGCTTTTAAAAGAAAAAGTTAAAAGAACTAGTTTCTTTCTCTGTGCTGTAATCCGGTTACAACGTCTTTAACCTGATTTTAAAAATACGGCAGCAATAACAATGGATTAAAATGAAACTCTCTCTACATCCCGTTTCATATTTTTCTAATCAATTAAATTAAAGTCACTTATCAGTTTTCACAATGACTGAATTCAGCTTGAGTTAAATCAGAATATCATGCTAATCTTTTCACCTACAGCCTCATTTCTTTAATTGGGAAGAAGCTACTTCAGAGCAAGCTCTTTTTGGTAACCTGATTGCAAATCTGAAAGCTTAACCGCTTGTATTTTCAATGATAGACTGCAGTGTCACTTAGTTTCAAGTCTGGTGTGGCAAAATTTAGGCACTTCTGCAAAGGCTTCTTTTAAAAAATATTCTCTCTCTTTGTAAAATAACATAGTCAAGACTTTGTTAGGGGTATGAAAGTCATACCGTGCAAAGGTTCAATTTAATTCTAGAATGCCATGATTCTGGTACAAATTCTTCGTACGTGTCCAAAATCAGCTCAGGTGCATCTCTGCTTTTGTGCTTTACCTTGGATCCTCTATTTGGGACTTTGCGCGGGGGGGGGGGGGGGGGGGGGGGGTGCAGGAATACCGGTTTCTGCTTTTGCAACACCTCTTTAGTCTTGGCATTAACTGCCCGGTAGAGAAGTGAATTTTTTAAGAGAGTACAAAATTGTCAAAAGGGTTAAAAGTCAAATCTGCAGTTCATATGTATTGGCCAAGATCCAAAGAGCCACCATGACACACTCAAGTTCTTGCATCTGCCGTTTTGGTTCGAGCCAAGAACTCTTTTGTGCTGTCACAAACTACTTTTGAAACTCTCCACCTTTTCAGAAAATAATTCAGCATGCAAAGTAGGTGACAAATACGTTTGACAAATACGCATCCAATGTGACCTTGTCCATGTGGGACTAATCATGTGGCTCTTTGGATCCTGGGCTTAGTGGCCAATGTACATCACTTATTGCTAACATTGAAAGATCCATAAAGTTGTGAACCCTACAATAATATATGAATAGGACTAATTACATTAGCTATAATTATGGTGGTCAGACGGCATTTCTAAGAAGTAAACGGTGTTGTATAAAACTTTTAAAACTAAAACGTTACCCTTTTATGTTTTGAACCATCACAGCTGGCATCAGGTAGTTAACTAGATTAGTTTTTAGAGTATACTAAGCATACCATATGTAATATTCATATATGATATAGCAGCACTAGCTCTTTGTGTTTGTGATTTGTCCAGACGAACAAACTCTTTACTCAGCATGCAGTTTGTGGCAATTCTATTGAGGAAGAGACAGGGTAGTATGTACAGTAACAATGCTTTGCTGTTCTCAATGAGGCCTCTTGACATTCCAGTCCAATCCGGTTGACTATTTCAGGATTATCTGTAGAAGAAAAGAAAACACTATTGAATTTGCCATTAGATTTTTTTCTCATTAATATTATTTTTCCTTTTTCCTTTTCTGTTTCTTCAACACGTAAGCACAAAGATCAACTTAAGGTTATTTACCATTTAAAATTATAGTACACACAAGTCTTTTACAGTGGAAATACTCATTGATTTCAGACGCGGGGGGCGGGGGGGGGGGAGGTGTTGAAGAATTTCCTGATAGATTGTACTTGTCATATACAATACAGATGTCTCGTACACCACACCTATACCCCTACTTCTTTGTTTACTAAACAGACATTACTAAAGATTGAATACACTTAGATTGTCCTTTCTGAATTACTTGATACTGTATTGTAACCTGGAATACCTTTATGCAATATACCGTATTTCATCACATAATAGTTACCACCGTGTAATAGTCACACCCCTATTTTGTAGGTGGCAAAATTAGTATTTTGGGATTCCTCGCATAATTGATGCAGAACCATTTGGGGCTAATTCCCTTTTCATTCCTTCTTTCTCTGAAGGCAAGGCAATTAGAAAAAAACCCAGAAACAGAGCTGTTTGTTTGAGGCTGGAGCTGGATCAGCCCTCCTCTTTGTTTGTTTGTTTGTTTGTTTTTAAAAACACACTGGAGATTCAAAGGCAATTTTTTCATTATGTAATAGTTGCACCTCCCTTTTTTGACATAAAAAAGGGATAAGAAGTGTGTAAACTATGCGATGAAATACGATGATTTCTTCTTTCATATACACTTCTGCTTATATTCATGGTATGCCACTTGCATTCAGAAAAAGGAAAGTTATAAATATTAAAAACCAGAACTTTTTCTGATTAGAGACATATTTCCAACATGCAAACAGCCATTCCCATGGTCACCTATGGTAAATAAAAACTATTTCTAAATATGTTTAATGTAAGCATGGTAGGCTAGTAACAGTAGCTAGTAACTCCTGTGGACCTATTGTAAGGCTAATTCACTTATATTAACGTATCACTTCAAGACAGATCTCACAGTACCTTTCTAAAGGTTCCTTCTTAAAATTCTCCTAAATTGTTTACCTGTTAGATTGAAGGACATGCAAGCTATCTGCACGCACACACACACACACACACAAAGTGAACATCCGATTTGGAATAATCTAGGTTGATCCAAATTGATTTTCAAACTTCTGTGTATAAGGTCCTAAGCATATACGATCAACTAGAGAACATAGAATCATAGAGTTAGATGAGACCACAAGGGCCATCCACTTCAACCACCACTCCCCTCCCCCAGGAAAAGCACAATTAAAGCACCCCTGACAAATGGCCATCCAGCCTCTGTTTAAAAGCTTCCAAAGAAGGAGCCTCCACCACACTCCGAGGCAGTGAGTATTGAAAAGCCCTTATGGTCGGGACGCCTACCATTCAATTAAAAAAGTGAACACAGGGTTACAGTTTTCCCCCTAGGAAATGAAACAGTGAAAAGAAGCAGGATTTATCAAAACTTCAATCAACTAGCTGTAATTTTCCCAATTACACTTCAATAGCAAAACTATACATTTATGTTATATAGAAGAACTACGAATCAGAGTATAATTATTATCACAAGGCCAAAATATGTCCTAGAAAAGCATATACAGGCAGCCCTCAACCAGGCATGTAGCCGGGGGGGGGGGGGGGGGGGGGGGGGGGGGGGGGGCTTGAGGGGCTTCAGCCCCCTCCCCCCGAAATTCTCATGGTGGTTCGCGAAAAGGCCTTACTGGTGCATTATTTAAACTGTTATGTTTATTCATATCATGATCTGATCACCATACTCAATATATCCCATATGCATGGGGGTATTGGGGTAACAATACAAAAGGTTTGCTAGGCTAGACCCTCTTTCACTCAGACTCAGCCCCCCCCCCAAAAAAAATTTAGCCCCCCCCCCCGAAACGAAATCCTGGCTACGGGCCTGCCCTCAACTTACGAACAAGATAGGTTCTGTAGGTTTGCTCTTAAGTTGGATGTGTTTGTAAGTTGGAATTGGTATGTTTTAAAAATAGAACTCAAGCCAGTTGGCTGAGGAGGAAGGGAGGGAGGTAACTTGCTGACAGGCTCCCTCCCTTCCTTCAACCAACACTGTGGTGAGGCTGGCCGGAAGCCAAGGCTGGAGAGGAGGGGCCAAGGAGCCTGTTGCCAGCTTCCTTCGCCAGCCTCCTCCACCTTGACTGTGGAGGAACAGCTAGCTCCACCACTCCCTAGTTGGTCGCCTTTGCCTGTTCGTATCTACAAGCTTTTCATAAGTTGGATGTTCGTAACTCAGGGACTGCCTGTATACTCGCTGAATGGACTTTTGTAAAATAATAATAATAGTTTATTTATACCCCGCTTTTTCTCTCCACAAGGAGATTCATTGATATAAGGGTACGCAGAACTAAAGTACATGACTGGAGATGCAGAATATAAACAAATAATAAGTTCAAGTTATTATACCAGCTTTCTGCAGATAACCTTACAATATTTTATTTATTTATTGGTGTATTTTTCAGAAATAAACTCAGTTAATTTAATCTGAACATCACTATTTTCCTAATATTAGGGATAAATATAAAGAATTCAGAGTTTTATGCTTTCCTAGCACAACCTTCTCTCTGTTCTTAATATTTTTTCTCCCCTTGGTTATACTTCTGATCATCGTACCATTAGATAGGGCTTCTCAAATTTGTCCACTTTTGACTTCTTTCTGCAATGTTTATGTGACCTCAGGTATATAGATATATAAAATAGATTTAAAAATCAAACATTTACTAATGTATCTGCATTTGCAATGCTTGTTAAACAGAGCAATTTCCCTTTTTATGAGGTACATCTAAAGAAGCGTTTGGAGAGTCTACTGTAATCACTGAACAAATTCATGAAAATGTCTAAAATAGCCACAAGGTGAAAACCTTTATTCTTGTCATTTTTGTGACCCAAAGAATTTGTTTATCTCATTTGAATCAAAGGGCCATATTAATTAAAATGAGGAGGAGACCGTAAATGGACACAACCTGATGGATATCTAGGTTTTCAACCAAGTTATACCTAGCTCATTGTCATTTATGGGTGAATCTACACTGCCCTATATCCCAGGATCTGATCCCAGATTATATGTTTATCCAACATTATCTGGCAGTATACAGTCATATAATCCAGTTCAAACAGATAATCTGAGATCATATCCTGGAACATAGGACAGTGTAGATTCAGTTAAATGGGACTGAAACTAGTGAAACATTCCCCTTCTTCCTAACTATTATCTTGATTAAAGGCATCCTCCGACAATAGGCACTTAAGTTTTTTTGTTATTTTTCATGAAATACTTCCCATGGGGGGGATGGGTGACCAAGCACTACTTTCATATCTACTCATTCATCCAGGTTGCAAAGTCCAGCATGTGAAAAGTTCACCTGTGAGAGATGATGTTAATTTCAGATTCAGCAGTCAATGAGATCCAGTCTTTCTGCTGAAGTTTAAGGCTGCTGTTGGCCATCAACATACCAAAATGAAAACAAAACAAAAAGAGTAAAAAGCTGACAAAGATGTTTAGCAGCCAAGGCCTGGAGCAATGGCCAATTCAATCGCCTGCATACAATATCAAGGCTATAAAGCACTTTAACTGCTTTTCTCACTTAGATGAGGGCTGTAATTCTTTACTAATTTTCTTCTTGAAGGAAGCAATGAGTAATTTTAACAATTTTCTTTTCACTGCAAGGAAATACCAGCTTTCAGAGGCTATTTACGATTTGGTACTTTTCATTTGGTTGCTTTGAGCAGAAAACAGTTTTCTCTGCTCATAAAATGCTGTTTTCTGTGTAAAATAACCACATGCAAATTTGGTATGGAATAAGTCTCTCACCACAGCATTTTCTGTGCCAGAAGAACCTTTCCTGTGCAGAAAAGTAATCTTCAATTCAGGAAGTGTTGTTTTTTGTGGCCAATAGTCATGTGCAAATTTTACATAGAATAATTCCTGAGTTGTGAAGATTCTCATCAGAACAGGACTCTTCTCAAAATTAGATAAGACTGTTGAGCATTTTTCAAATTGCTTTTAAATATTCTTTCCACTTCTAACTTTGTGTTGTCGCTGTGTTCCTTGAAATAATTTTCAACTTATGGTGGCCCTAAAGTGAACACATCACAAGGTTTTCTTGGTAAGATTTCTTCAGAGGAGGGTTACCCTCTGATTTAGGCTTAAAAACTAGGAGTCACTCAAGGTCACCCACCAGTGGGCTTCCTTCCTTCCATGGCTAAGCTGGGACTTGAACTCTGGTCACCAGATTCATAGTCTAACTCCAAAATCGCTACACCATGCTGAATATCTTAATAAAGCACCACTGCAACATACTTGCTCCTTTCGGACCCTGTACTTGGAGTAAACTTAAGATCACCTATACAAAACCCAAGAGCTTGCATGGAAATGATGTTACAAAGTTGCTCTTGACAATTGAGCGTGTGGGCTGTGAAGGGGTAAAGTTAGAAAGGTGCCTAAAGATTTGCAAAGGTAATTTTTCCAGCTGGCTAACTTGGAAGAATCTTTTCCTCCTTCTTCATCAAAGGCTGCTTCTACACTGAACATATAATGCAGTTTGAACTAGATTATATGGTCAGTATATAATCAGTTGTACATTACATGGTCAGTTTGAACTGCATTATATGGTCAGTGTAGAACCTGCCTTAGAAAGAGTCATCAGTAAGGGGTGTGAACTAATAAGACACACAAATTAGCAATCCCCTCATTTTGTAGACTGATAAAAGGTATTGTCCAAGTAAAGCAGATGATCATGTTCTGTCTCTCATTTACTGGGTGCAGGTACAATAGGGCACCGTGTATCAAGAACTGCCACATACCCCCCAAAAAAACATTCTTGGGTGATGGGGCTGGTGCCAAATTTTAGGGGACAATTGGGTGTGACAACCATGATGTTCAGCAGCAAGACCCACCGAATGGTAAAGAAAGAATTTAATGAAGCAGCTGGAAACAAC